TCTAGTCAGACAAGTTTCGTGAACAATTACGACTTACAGCCACCGCCAATAACTATTAAGGAAACCAATAAGGCAGTTGATCCATTACGAGCGCATTTAGTACATCAAAACTATATTACATAACTCTAATAATGTTTAATTTTCCTTTAATAATGTTTTTGTCCTTGTTAAAGTTCATTCGCTTGTCCAAAATATAAAGTATACCAGATAATTAACATAAGTTTAATTTATTTCAGACTTATTTACAAAAAAATCCGTATTAGAATATGCATGTCTGCGAGTCCTGATAGTTCCGTCTCCGTTTTAATAACGAAGTGTAGTATTATTAAATCAGATGAATCATTTTTATCATCGACATTTGTACATTAAGAATGTATTAAACAGATGTTTATAAATGTCTGTACAGATCAATAATATTGACAGTTAATACACAATAGTCTAACTGTGAAATTCCACTGCTACAATATTTGTATTATAACATATTCTTCTCTCTATTCTTTTCAAAGATAATGAGAGAGATAATAATATGTTTTATATAGTAAATCGACAGTAGAAACCCACACTTATCTACACAAACTACAACACTAGATAGAGGCAACATTAAATATTCTGTCTGTAATTTTACTTCTTGTGGACGTACTTGATAATGTACAAGAAAAAATCATTGCTCGTTCTTAGCATTGTTTGTCAATGGACAATCGCGAGCACGAATTCAATCTTCAAATTCGGTCCTAATGCGGTGAGTAATATTAAACATATTAGCAAAGTTATATGATAGACAATGAATTTCTGACATCAAAATCTCTGTATAAATATTATCATCCTTGTCTATTATCTTTGACAAAACAGAGATAACAATATTTTGTAAACGGAGATTTCGGTCTCAGAAACTCATGGAGAGTCAATTGTTTTATTTCGACCTTTTAATTATTAGCATTTACGTAAACTAAGAAACTACTCTTTCACAAATATTTGGTCCGCTTACTTACATATCACCTTGTGAGCCTAGTTAAACAAAATAACAATGCAGTAATAAAAAATAATAATTTCATAAAACGAAAAATTTTGTAACAAAAGAATTGCGTTTGAATTTAGCAATAAAATGATTTATTTTTTCAGTCATCTGAAGAAGTTCGCAGAAAAGATCATAGAAATACTTTACTGGATTTCTTAGATCCAAGAGGGATTCTCAACTCTCCAGGCGATGCGAAGCTGAGATCTAAGAGACGAGATATATGTAATAACTAAGTACCAGTATACTTAAAAGAAATGCTTGTGATTTCTCGATTGCTAGAGGGGGGATGTGATTCGGTTTGTATGTATGTGATTGCTTTATATTGTAATATGTTTCAGCGTATTTCACCCCCATATCTTCCGTGAAACATACTGATGCACTTCGCTTGCTGTTCAAGACGTTTCTCAACGTGTTCCTGGCAGCGTTAAGACAAGGGAAACCCCCACTGGGTCCGCCGTTTCCGAAAACCATAGTTACCAATATTAAAGATATGTTATTAAATTAAACAAATATTAACAAAAATATATTTTATTAAGTTGATTAATTAAGGTCCCCGTGTGCTCTCGCCAGTAAATGTTAAATTATAGCTAAATAAACACTTACCCAAAAGAAAGACTCCCGCCGGGTCTGAGTCTACGTGACGTCACCGGTTAATTATAGATGAGTCTTATCCATAGTTAATTTGTTTATAAATAAATGTAAATATCGTAAGTTGGGAAAAAAGTGGTATTCTTCCAATCGACTCGTGTTTCTCGTTTTATTATGACCAAATGATTTTGTTTGTTGATTGTAAAAACATGCACCAAGAAGATATGTTTGACAAAGAATAGATAATTTCGTTTCAGTGCGATAGGTGTCGCTATAATTATTCACGCTACAATATCTACTTCTAACATCCCTCTTTTCTACAAAAGGAAAAAATTAAACACCCTTTAGTATATTTTAAACCGTACAAACAAGAATAATCTGGCATATTGACTTATTTTTATTAAAAACAAAAATGTTCAACTTAAACAATCGAGACCCGTCGTTTATTTGCTGTTAAAATTATTTAAACAAATAATAATCACAAATATTACGTTATTATAATGCCTGTATGTAACAGTAATAAGTGAAACAAAGCATATATAAGCATTATATACATATGTCTTTTGTTTTCTAAGAGAATGAGTCCATGGAAACTTACTTTGCTTACCTAAACTTACTGTTTTAAAACAGATCAACTGATAAGGAATTTACTGACACATACCGATAGATTAGGACATCTGTTTGTGCTGCGATTTTTTAAAATACTAAGCGTTAGTTATGCAATGAATGTAAGAAATAAACTGCTTTATTGAATACAAATTCGTGAGACGCATCTAGTTCCTTTCTTTCTTGGATTGTGGGCGGGGTGACATAGAGTATATAAGTGAAGCGAAAGAATTATATTAAGTACTGAGATCTCGTTACTGAGGCGCCACCGTCATGAAGGTACGCGTACGAAAACTTTAATATGGATCCTTTAAATTGTGAAGTGTTATTTTATAAAAAAAAATTAACTGTGTAGTGCATATCTATACCTTCCTTTGTTCGTGATCTATGTGTAATTAAGGATGTTTTTAAAATCAAAAATAAATGTAAATCATAAACGTATTACAAAATCATATTAGAATGTATAATAATGTCATTATATAAATATTAGTAAATTATAGAAGAATACAAAAAAAGAATTGCCTGGACATAATGTAACTTAATTGTTACATATTTATGATTTTTTAAGTTACAATGTAAAAACAAAAATAAAGCAAAATGCATAATTATTTTTTAATGAATCGTAATATTCGATTGTTGTATTGCATTCTTTGAATTTTTACCCCATTCTAGTATAATTGCGTAGTAGTTTAATATAACGCCATTAGGCAAATGTAGTAGACTTGGGATTTTTTTAAATTCCGTGTTATAGTAAATTATTTATATTGTTTTGTTAAATTATACTTGTGTTCAGGCGTTAGTGGTACTAATATTGTGCGTGGCGGCGAGGCGTGCTGCGGGAGGCGCGGTGTCGTGGCCGGGCGCGGCGGTGGCGCTAACCGCTCCGCTGTTGAACACCGTCGTGCAGCCACAGACTAAAGGCTTCGCTTACTCTACTACACAGTATATTAATGCAGTAAGTTTACTATGATAACAGCGTAATTTTATAAATGATTATATGTTTTACAACAACAAGGATTTCAATATTTGCTAATATATGCGTCAACTTTATCCTGCCAATCATTGATATACAATTTTCGTTCTTTGCAGTTGCCAGCATCATATACCTACGGAGTACGACCACAATTCCCGTATCAAGTTCCGGTAACGGCGTACGCACCTTTGCCAGGATTCCCTGCGTACTATCCGGTAGGGACTGCTTCGTACATACCACAGAGTAGTCTGATTTATCCCCAGATACCACCTATCGCAGCAGGACAACCACAAAGACCAGTTTCTGGCGCCCCAACAGCTCCTATAGCACCAATTGCACCTCCTGCGCCTATTGCTCCGATTATACCACAACAGCCAAGTATACCACAACAGCCAAGTGCACCACAACAGCCAAGTCTTCCACAACAGCCAAGTGTTCCACAACAGCCGATCAACCCCCCATCTCCTCCAGAACAAGCGGCCGGTGATGCGGATACGACAGTTGTAGAGTCAGCGGAATTCATCAATCAGCAACAGGACCAAAGAACATCTAGCCTCGATGGTCAACCACAGTCAACGCCTGCAAACAATATTCCTGATCAACAACCCCAATACCAAGTTCCGTCGTACGTGCAAAATCCACAAATTTCTCAGTTCGCATCCTTCCCTCAGATTCCCCAGTTGCCCCAAAGTTTCCCGCAATTCCCACAATTACCGCAGTTCCCGCAACTTCCCTCATCACCCCAGTTCCCGGGCGCGCAAGAAGGTATATCATTTCCACCGCTTTCACAACAACCAGGTTCCACCCAAGATGACTCATCCTCACAACAACCTCCACAGCAATCTGCTCAACCGCAACCCCCTTCCTCATTAGGGGATTCATCATCTCCACAGTCCCCACAACTGCCTTCTTTTCCACAGTTCCCCTCTCAGGGTAACTTACCACAATTACCGCAGCTTCCGTCTCTTCCCCAATTTCCTCCTTCACAAGGTTGGACACCACAATTTCCACAATTGCCAACACTTCCACAGTTCCCTCCTTCCCAAGGCGGATCGCCACAATTTCCGCAATTACCCAATCTTCCTCAATTCCCCCCAAGCCAAGGAGGTTCATTCCTTCCCGGTATTCCGTCAGCTGATAACTCCAACAAAGGTTTAAATGACGAAGACACTATTTCTGTTGAATCCGCCAAATAAATTTGAACATCCAACATTATACGTTTTTGGTAGTGTTCATAAATAATATTATTTAATGAATTGCAAAAATTTCGTTGAAAAAAAAAATTTACTGCATTTTGCAAAAAGATTGAGGATTTTATTGCCAAGTGGAAAGATGAAAAGACTTGATATATCATAATAAAAATAGAAATCACTATTTAAACATAGGTCGTCTCTGTAGTGCATAAGTTAATATTGTACCACTGTGCCAGAAATATTAAAATATTAATTTAAATTGGGAAATCTTTATTTTACCTTAAACACTTTACTTTACGTACATTTATACCTAGTGTCTTTATATAATGCCATACACCAAGTCAAAGAATTTTATTTGCTGTTATAGTAATGCTGTCAATCCCGCTTATTGCTTTTTTGTTTACTATTAATTTAAATCAGACCAATAGACTTAAATGCTCTATTGTTACAATTTGGATTCAATAGATGGATAGAAAAAAATAGATGTCATTAAAACAAGGATATTAAGACGGATCTATTTTTCCGAAGAGAAAAATGTTTTTTTTGTATACTATGATATTCGTCGCCATAATTCGTAAGTGCTCGAGGCCAGGTAGTTTGTCGATGGCTGCTAAGATCAACCCTAATGGGTATTTGGAAAGTATTTGTGCAAAACCACAAAACTAGATATTTTGTCGGAAACATTGCGATGGATCCAATCTATAAAATGAAAATAAATAAAATTGTTTGCAGGTACAATATTCGAAAAAAAATATATATCTATTTGTATAACACACGGACCTGACGAAAATTAAAAAATAATTTACGACCGTATAAAACTCGAATATGGCCAATTTTCGAGTTATAACATCCGTACAGGATATTACGAGAGCCAAGTCAGGACACATAAATAAGGACCGGACCATCTTCATTATTGGTGACACATTTCAAATGTCAATTTTTCTATATGACATTTAATTTAAAGGTTATAGATATAACAACAACAACATTACTCACGCCCGTAACCCAGAGGGGTAGACAGAGACCATGGACCGACATTTCGCGTGGTCCATCTCTTCAAAACCGCAACGGTTCAACACATCTTATTGAAATTTGACACCGATGAACATGGAATCAACGGTCACGCTGAAGAAAGACTCCCGGCAACGGGTCTGCAACGATCCGATGCCGACAACGTATACGTCAGTTAGCCATTGTTATATATAGTTATAAAGAAACTACCTAACGCCCGCGACTCCGTCCGCACGGATTAAAAAAAAACTTAATAAGTAGCCTATGTGTTCTCGCAGACTATGTTCCCCATCTTTACCAAATTTTATCAGGATCCGTTGAGATAGCTTATTACAAACATCCTTCCATCCATCCATTCGCATTTATAACTTTACTTACTAATAAGTAAGGTTAAGATGTTATTATCATACTCGTAAGTTGTAAAATATAAAATGATATTCTTCCAAGCAACCAGTGTTTCCAGTTTAATTATATCGGCGGCTCTATATTTGAGCCCCGGGAATAGACGTGATTGTGGATGGTATTTGCCGATCAGAGTTGGTATTATGGCCCGCGTCAAAGGGTTTGCGCGGCATTCCTGGGTACTCATCCACATTTACGGCCTCAGTCGTCATGGGTCGTACCAGTCTATTGAATTTTATTTAATTTAAGCTTATTCCTACATCAGCTTCCACGTCCAGTTAGCAGTGGGTTGCATGAACTAATGAGAACATCTCGCGAATTCAAGAAGAATAATGAAAGAAGTCTGCATACATTGGCGTCCAGCCACCCTGCGATTATATAAGGCATTATTTAGAGACAACGACACATTTTGCTCGTCAGGAATTGTAGTGCACGGACGTCTTTTGTGATGAGTAATATTGGTCGTTATTAAGGTCACGTAAGCCATTTTTATTTTGCAATATTATTTAATTATTAAAATTTGCAATACCAGTTGTGTTTAGTAATAATTTTAGTGTATTGCACTCATAATTTATTTAAAATTGCACTTCCGATGCTAAAAGCAGAAGAGTCAGATAAAGGAGTTCCTTTCTCTGAAGTTTCTAGCTACTGTGCAATTGGGATGCAATACTACAAGTATACGGGCTATGTGCACATGAGTAGCTGCACTAAGCATAGGAAGCTTTGTCTCTGTATCTTTTACAGCTAATGAGCTGTACACCCACAAATATGTTATAGTAGGAGAGACGAAGCGGGGATTTTGGGATTTACTCGAGCGTAGCAGTTAAACATATAAGGGGAATCCTGTATATTGAGCTGCGTTTTAGGGCTGCCGATCAGAATACTACGTAAAAATGCTTGTTATGAATAGTCCAGTTTGTAAGATTGACATTGTCAAGATGAAGTTTTTTTTCTTGCAACATTGTAACTCTCATATTTACTTATGTACAGTAATAAGATAATCGAAATGTAGACTGTTCTATAAAAATGAACTCACAATTCCCTACAAGCGATTTTTTTACATAGTATCCTGATCGGGCGCCTTAAACACGCGGACATTTATGGAGCGTTTCTTGTGCGGTAAAGTACTTGACTGGATGCAAGATTAACTGATACGCTCGAGTAAATTCGAAAATCCCCGTTTCACCTATTAAAATTGGACTAAAAGTTTTGCTTCTAATTATGCTTACTAAACTGTGACAATGAGAAGCATGAGAACGCCTGAGACATGTGCTGCATTTTTTGAGGGTAAGTGAAGTGAAAATTATACGCATTCCTGTGGTACGTATACGTAGGCACTCTCTATGTATCATATTCTTCACTTGTTTGTTGTATACTCTGTATATTGAGATGGTCAAAAGGCGGTCGTATTATATTCATCGTGTATAATTAGAATTATAATTAGCCAAAATACATTTTATTCTTTTAAGATTGATGTATACGCGTGTTACATGAGAGATTACAATGAAAAAAAAATAATGAATTGATTGACTGGAGACAGATTGACAGGTATGTGAGGTTAAGTTGCTTTTAATTAACTTTTCTGAATTATTAGTTACTGCGCCCGCGACTTTGACCACGTGAAGTATAGTTTTTCTGGTAGAATTTTAATTATAAACATATTCCCATTCAAACTTTACGTGTCATATTTATATCAAGTTAAGAGCATAAAAATTACGTACTTAACTACCATACAACTTTACAACTCCTACAACCTTAGCATTAAAATGTATCAGCCTATATCCTCAGGCAGGAAGGCTCTAGACTGTGTACCAAAATTCATTAAAATCGGTTAAGCAGTTTTGGCGTATCAGCGGGACAGACAGCCAGAAAGAGTTACTTTCGCAATTATAATATTATAATTATATAGTAAAGATTGGTACTTTATTTCTAGATCAGACTAATGATGATGTGGAGGCTATACACACTACGCTCGCTTTTACGGCTAGTGTGTCTATTCCCTTGACTGATGACGACAAAGATATTGACTTACCTCCATCTCCGGTGGCGGGTCCTAGCGGTATCCAAAGGATTTGCGTCGAGGATGACTCAATCTCCGGACAAACCGTGCAAGATGTCTCCGTACCACGTCGTCAGCCACCCAGCGATCGACTACATAATAGAGCGTTCCCACTGAACCTGGGACGATGCGTGAAACTTAAGGTTATCGCGTACTTGTTAAATACCACCGCGGTGTATATCACTAATAACTAATCACTGTCGTCAATTGAGCGGCATAAAAATATACATTTGTTAGCAAACTGATAGTTATTCTAGCTTGCACATGTTGACGCAGCACAGTTGCCTTTTCTATCGTCGAAGCAATTGATGCGAGGTGGCAGCGGCGACAATGCTAAATAGGACTTGTCATGAGTGCGCCGTTACAATAACAAATTTTAACCGTATATTAAACAGATCTGTAAATGGATAGGTCTTTGCGTGAAATTACACAATCACAGCTGCTGCTTCGTACTCACTTAAAGCGTCTGTTGATGTTAGTGACAGTTAATTTTATATTTATTATTAGTAACTTTTCACCATCGCTATAAATCTGTCCATTTATTAGGTTTAGTGGTTTATTCACTTCTAACGTTACACTTAATGCTTTTGTAATACAAAGGAACGAATTTTAGCCCCTTTTTGTCGTACTTAATCCTTTACGATTAAGGCTCTGCGCATCGGGCCACCGGTGGCCGGCGACAAGAAGTTCACACGATTTTTCACACATTTTGTTAGAACGGTGTAAATCAGTAGCCCGTCTGTGTCGAGCCTAAATGTAATAAGTTAGTTAGAATGCCTTATAATTGGACTGCATATGATATGAGTGGATTCAAATATATCCTTTTAAAGTCATACTAATTGAGGATTATCTTGTTGCATTCAAATCATCTTTTTATAGCTTCAGTCGAATAGTGAAATGAAAGATAGCGAATAACTTACTTTTCTTTGCTCTTTACTTAAATATGAACTTTTGTGCAGGTGTTGGTGGTACTGCTGTGCTGCGCGGCGGCAGCGGGGCGCGCTGCAGCAGGCGCTGTGGCGTGGCCGGCTGCCGTGGAAACGCTCAATGCTCCTCAGCTCAACAACATCGCCCAGTCACAGACTAAGAGCTTCACCTACTCTACTGAACAACATATTAACGAGGTGAGTAAAAGTTTACCATGGTTACTGCGTTACTTTATAAATTATCAAGTATTTGAAAACTATTAAAAACATAATTTTCGTTCCTTGCAGGTACCGTCATCACATAGGTATCCAATACAATCACAACTACCGAATCAAGATCCGGTAAGGGCGTATGCTCCTTTGCCGGGATTTGGGGCGTACTACCTTGTAGGGACAACTTCATACATTCCACAGACTAGGCTGATTTACAACCACATGGAACAACCACAAATACCAGAGTCTGGCACTCCAACAGCTTCAATTGCGTCAAGTGTACCTCGACAGCCCAGTGCTCCACAACAGCCGTACAATCCACTTTTTCAACCTTCTTTACCAGAACAAACGACAGTTGGTGTTGATGCAAAAGTAATCAAGTCAGCTGAATACACCAATCATCAACAGCTCCTACGTACATCTAGCCCCGATGGTCAACCACAATCACTACCTTCAAACAATTACTTGCGACGTTCACAATTTTTTCAATTCGCATTTCCTCAAATCCCCCAGTTGCACCAAGGTTTCCCGCAACTACCACTGTTTCCGCAACTTTCATCATTGACTTAGTTCCCTGGCGCGCATATACGTATATATTCCTACCGTTCTGACAACAACCGCAAAACTAACTAGCAGCTCAAAATGCTATTGAAGAAATTTTAAGTAACAAAAACGAATTACTAGAAACTATTATTTTATTGCCCGACTCACAGGAGTGTAATAAATATCGCAAGTATGTTTGTATAGAAGGTAAAAGATTTTTATTTCGTGTCATTGGAATGCTGTCAATCGGGCTTATTGTTTTGTCTTCAACAATTTATCTTATATATAAAATTCTCGTGTCAGAATTTTCGCTTCCATACTCCTCCGAAACGGCTAGACCGATTCTCATGAAATTTTGTGAGCATATTGAGTAGGTCTGAGAATCGGCTAACATCTATTTTTAATCCCGCGCGGACGGAGTCGCGGGCGACATCTAGTAAAATATATTATACATATATATGATTTGAACATTTTTTGTCACAATTTAGATTTAACAGAAACTAAAGTCAATAAAACAAGGATATTAACACGGATGTATTTATTTTTTTCACCACATTCCTTTTGGGTTACGTTGTGACCACCACTTGCTTAAGTTATCTGCAGACGTATTCTTGCCGTTTAGGCCTAGTGTGAAGAAAAAGCGAGAGGGAAACCAATTTGTATCCAGTTGGACTGATATATTGAAGCTGCCGACACCGTCGATGATCGGCGTTGATTTATGGTTTGGTATCAGGAGACGGGCACAAGTTATGGTGCACTGTATACCCGCAGAAATCTGAAACCACAGACGACCATTTAACCTTTAACTGCCTATTTTAAAGTCGATTGACTCTATCGTCCCTTATAGTACGCCAGTTTTATGTTCAAATCTGACTAAATTTAGTTAACTAGTTACTATAATATTAGCCTATGCTACGATGAAATAATTAAAGTCGTAATGGTCTGATTTTATTAAACTTTATGAATCAGGGAACATGATGTATGAATACTGACCCTTATATATACAGTGACTTTGGCTTCTGGACCAGCTTTTACGGAAAACCTCTCAAGGTAGAAGAATGCAGTTCTCCTTTGGCGCTTGGGCCTCATGTAACAATAATTTCCAGACACGAACATGCGCCCTCTCCATCCGAACTTCTGTGTATTCGTCTGTCTTAAAAACCCTGGGCGTATTCCTATACCTAAGAAAACATAATATAACAGTAACATCTTACCTGTAACAGTCACCTAAAAATAATTTGTAGCTTTTCTAGATTTTATATAAAAAGCGTAATGCGATGAGTTGGCGTTTCTATTATACGTTCATAGCGATAACATGTTGACGAATAATATTTTATGTTTTAGTTTGAGATCTTACAATCTAACCGTACACACTTTTATGATATGTTTACTAAACAAAAAAAATCTTGATTGGAAAAGGAACATAGATAGATGGACATACTTGAACCTCCTTCGGTAAGCATTAACTTCCCAGGAAAAGCGCGCGGAACAACACTAGCTGAGATAACATTCATAATCCAGGTGACGTAAGGGAAGACGTCGATGAATAGAGGCGGGTCATCATTTAGACGACTTCTCATGGTGTGGATCCTACATGGTTGACTGCCCGCTGACAGCCCTATCAGTTGAAAGATCCCGTCAACATCTTGGCTAATAATAGGGGCACCGGGCCTAATACCACACCCTGTAGTACAAAGTTCGTGAGAGACACCTTCTCCTAGCTGTAAATAAGATTTATTTTTCTTAATATTCATTTTTTACTTTAATTGAAGCAGATTCTTTGTTAGCTTGTTTTTTTGCTTGCTGTATCTGAGAGGAGATTTATAAACTAATTAAAAACTTTTTGGTTTATATGGTTTTTGTTATTATGCAGTTTTTTAAACTTACGGTACTTCTACGGTGCCTGATGCAATCTTTATGAGGGAACACCTTTAAAGTCTTTTTGGCCATTCGTTCTCCGTCTAAATCGATTGGGACGGCTAAAATAAATTCAATAATTAAAAACACAAATTCATATTATAGCGATAACTACGAGTATGTCGGAGATGTCATCTGTTGTTTTAATAGTGTGTAGTGTATTATGAAGACTAATCTCTATTAATTTCTAAAAGGTCAGTGTCTATGAACAATGGCATCTTACGGTTTAGATAGTCGATCAGAAAAACAGCTCTGTTTCTTCGTTTAACTCTTCGTTCCACTAATGTTGGCAAGCAAATCGGAAGGACGTAAACTGGAATACGTATGGTAGTATTAGTATAGGTACTTAATAACAACAAACAATTAAAAAGAGTCATATCTCTGCTTACAAGATTTTATTGGACGTACTAACTTGACAACGGCTAAGCTGTTGGCGATACCGAATCTGAAACATTTTTAAAAGTTTAAGTAGCAATTGTGTATTTACTTACTAGCCCGAAATTTATAATGAACGTTCGGACGTCGAACGGAACACTTAACGTAATTATTGAAAAATGTAAAAGTACCTAGTATACTCTGGATGTGCTATTACTTCTTGATGAGGCATTACGAAGTATGCGCGTGAACATTTCTGGTTCATCTTGAGCTGCTCGCGTGTCAGGCCGCATTCCTCTTCGTCACGCTCGTAATCACCGAATATCACGTGACCCCTATAATTTAAGTATTATTTCATATTTTAATAACATTTAGTTACATTATTAACTTTAAGTATCCTTTACATTTCTCAAAGTAAAAAGTAAGTTAAAGATTGGAGTTGCATTATATAAGAGCTGAACTATATCACTACGGATATTCAATATTAAATGTTCTAAGTATATTTTTCTGGCCTGAATAAACTTAACGTTACGAAGATAGACATAGCGTTAGATAGATTTTATGTTAATAAAATAATAAATTTGAGAAAATCTTACAGTTTATAATTCTTGGGCAGCTTGAGAAGGTCCTTTGCAGTGCCGAGTACGAACTGTTTGTGTACGAGCACCACTCGCGGCGCCACCGATTGGTGTGGCAGTGATGTCGTCACTGTCGTAAATAATAAAGAAAACTTACGACTCCTATACAATTACAATAAGGTTTGATAAAATTCAACCAACATTGATATAGCTATAGAGTGCGATCATTCTTATGAATCTTCCTCGTTCCTTTATTCCACAACAAAAGACAACACTTTTATTTGTTGCCTTTGGTGGTAATTAATTCCCGCAATACTATCCGAGTTAATTAAAAAAAACACAATAAGAAGCGTATCTTCGGGCTATGTTCTACATCTACGTCAAACAGTGAGATCTACGCAGCCATCCCGGACATACCTTCTTACAATTATCCAAACATTCGCATTTAGAATATAAGCAAGAAAATAAGATTATGTTTATTTACCATGTATGTAGTAAACAGCGGCCAGCCATGTGAAGGTGTGCGGTTCCAAGACGCCGTCGGCAGGTTTCAAATCGAAGTTATCATGACATGTAGCGAAATCTCGTAGCTTACATACTACTACTTTTATGCAGACTGAAATTTCAATTGAAAATATTCAACACTAACATTGATACAATAGTGACATAACAGTGTGCAAGAATTACAGTGAATTGGCTTTTATTGGCTACCTGAATTCAAGTAGCAATCACTTACCTGCTTTTTATCAGAAACTTATTATGTAAAACCATACTTTTGCTATTTTTAATTTAAAGTAAATAAAAAACCTTAAGCTCTTTTTTTATATCATAAGGTGGCAAACGAGCGAGCGGCCACGTGAAATCGCTGAAATAGCGAAGTGACCGTTGCCCATAGACATACGCAATTGCATATGCGTTGCCTACCTTTAATCGACGGAGGCGAGGATGCACAGAAAGAAAATATATTCCCTTCCCATGCATCCTCTCATCCGGAAAGTCCACTTCCACTTCCCATCCTTTCCTTATAAGAAAAAGGATGGGAAGGGAAAGAGGACTAATTTGTGTTCTAATGATGTGCTTATTAATGTTGTGTTTTAAGTATATTCTAATTTACTTACATGTAATTAATATTGATTTGTAAACGTCCATTACACGCACTGTCTCAGCCCAACTATTCTATCTCAACATGTTTGTAAACTGCCTTTTCCTGCGGATGATTATAAAAAATGCCACGAAAAGGATGTAAGCATTATTCTTGAATAAATAATTTTGTCCAAATTAGTAAACATAATTGCACACAAGTATTGTGCAGAAGATGTGAACCAGTCATATTTGAGAAATTAGTTATCTTTTTATTTATTTTTTTAGATGGTTTTTGATTTTTAGTATATAGTCGTTTATAATGTAAACTTATAGACAAACGAAGAGATAGAAGCGAGCATAGTTTCCTTAAAGGCTGGCAACGTATCTGCAGTTCCTCTGGTGTTGCAGGTGTCCATGGGTGTCGTTGATCACCTAGGTGTTCCCGCCGCTCGTTTGCTCCCTTCTCGTATAAAAAACAGATTCATTTGAAACTTGAAGAATTGAAAAAAGAATTTGAAATATACCCGATGTAAATGTCCAATACAGCTCGCCTAAATGTTGTCAAATTACATTCAACACTCTTTAGGCTGCTAATTTGCATTTGGAATATATTAGAAATACGAAAGTCTAGATGAATGACTGGGTGAATGGATAGATGGATACATAAATTGATGTTTGTTAGAAAGTATCTCTATAAAGACTAGAGGGATCTCGCTGAAATTTGGCATAGATGCAGAATATTGTCTGGAAGAACACATATAATGTTTTTTTTTATTTAGCACGGACGGAATCGCTGGCGATTGTTAGTTAATGTATACATTAACGAAGAGTGGTCCATGATTCGAACCTTGCGGTACCCCAGAAGATGCTACAATATACGACTTAGACGAAGATATAACTGTGAAGCGAGACGTTAACTCCAAAACTATTTAGCAAATAATATTTCTTGTTTCTGTTTGCGTCAATGATGCTTACAAGTTTATTTGCCGTCGAGAATTCATAAACATTTTGTGAGTAGAGATGTTTTATAAAGGAGTTGCATCAGAATAATGTCGCCACAAACGTTATTCATTTGTTACTCAAACGTTACTATAATGAGATTTCGCTGGATTATTCTTTTTTGCACAATAATTGGTAAGTTAATATGTCTTTTGTTTCTCCTTAGAGTTATGTGTTTCTTAGAATTTGGCGAGCCTTTGTAAATTCTTACAATCTTAGAAAAATCTACATATTCCAAGATTTCTATTTGAATTCCTAAAGTAACCCCAAATGAAGTAGAATTTCTTTTTAGAATTAATGTCTAACGAAAGATCAAATAATCCTGTTTATTGTCAGAATTTAAGTATTGGTTAAATAAACTAACAAAGAATCTAATGAATAGTCTTAAATCTATGATATAAAATAGAATATTAAAAAACGAATAATTTACTAAAATATATTATTAAAAGGAGTCCCTTTAGGCAAGGTCCCGAAGATACTGGCAGCGTTCCCCCTTTGGACAGCTAAACTAATTCTTGGTTAAATTGCTCTTTGAATTGATATATATTTCACTTATGTAGTTGGCATCGTGTGGTGTTGGGATGTACTCGCAGATATGGGCTCCAGACGTTTAGGAAAGGATGGATACGGTTTGTTCCAATTTATTATACAGATACAATTGTGTAGCAACGATGTTTAAAAATTTTTCTGGAATTATCCTATTTTATCAAATATTTTTTACATAGCAGACCCAAACAAAATTTTATAATTTAATTTTTTGACTTAAATCGAAGTTCTTGATACTATAATTTGATTTTAATAAATAAAATAGAAGAAGTGAGTGACATCTTATTAAATTAAAACTAATGATTTATGTTTTAGTTTTCAAAAATGAATACATTTTCGGAGATTGCAAGAATCCTAAGAAGATTTATTACGAAAAACAACACAAGACTGTTCACGAAGTACAGCGTGCGTCCGTCATAAGGGTATGCCTTTCTGTAATTTATATCAATTAAATTAAAATCGACGCACGATTCGACTAAAACAAAGTACCACGATCTTGTCAATTACAAATAGAATACTAGAGCTAGAAGTAACTTTTATCTCATTGGAAAAGTCGCATGTGTAGCTAATATAAACATAAATAATTGCTTACTACTAGGACAATTTATTGTAAATTTATTACGCGTTAGTTACTTTTATTTTCTATCATTCGATTTCTAGATGATTACGTCTCCCATTACGGACGAATTTAAAATTACTCACCATTCATATTTCTTTTCAGGATTGGCTCTTAGAAATTACCAGAATACCGACATGCATTATTATAAGAGCAGATTCATATGAAACCAATGCATTTCGTCTCACGTATTATAATTTCGAAATCTGCGTACCCCGAGTAAGTTTCTGTTATAATAAAAAAAGATGGAACTACTATTACTACGAATGGTATATTCCGAAAGGTATTACTTATGGCTCCGATTGGGATCTTTATTTCTACGGCCCAAACAAAAGTGATTGGACACTACAGTGGGGTTAGTAAAAACATTGAGAAATTCGTATCGATGATTTACGAGTCCATTATACGATAACGAAGGATACTTAACATTAAAACACGAAGCACAGTTAATCGTACATAATCTAGTAATATATGATTTGATGTTTGTAATTACATATCTCCAAAACAGTTATAGCGATTAGGATGGTATTTGGCACAGATGTAGAACATAGTCTGGAAGAATGAATACGTAATAAGGCAATTATTAACATCTTGCATATGAAGCCGCGGAAAAAAGCTACTTATTTAATAATGAATCAACAACTTTGATGTAAATATTCTAAGATTTCGTTTGTTCATATTTTTTTACTTAACATCTAAGATTCACTGTTTAAGGGCCGGTATTTAAGTACCTTTTTTGGTTGTACAATCTTTGTTATAGGTTAGTAATTGTTTGTCTACATATATATTGTTAATACATAATGAAATCCGGAATTAATTAAAAATTAAATGAACTATTGTTAAAATAAAACAAAGGAGTGAAAAAAATTCCAGGAACTTTTATGACGAATATTCTTATAAACTAAAAAAAACCATTGTCCTATAAAAGAAAAGAGAAGTTGAAAAGTACAAAAATGATGAAAAGAAAGATATACATGATTCTTCGACTTCGAATTGATTAAAAGTAATGACTAACTTAATCATCTTTTGCTAAGATAATTTATTTCTTTAACGTATTACTCTGGTTTATCAGGTTTGAGTCCGCCCTGAGGTAGAGGAGGGGGCGGGACGTTAGCGATTTCAGGATCTTTAGGGGAATAATTAAGTACGTTCAGGTCACTGGGTTCTGGGGGAGGGGTGGGAGTCGACGGGTTGGATCCAACTGTCGCCTTAGGTATCGCTTCGCGATCAGCCGGCGATGCTTCGTACTGACCTAGAACATTCGTCAATGGTTGGTAAAGAGGAGGCAATCCAGCATACGGATTAAAACCGAAAGGATCAAAGGGATCATAGAATCGGAATGCGGGATAACTGTATGTGAAGTGTCCGAGATTAGGAATGGTATTGTAAGTATGACTAATCGGCAGTACTTGGGGTGGTAATCCAAATTGGTTAAGTGGTATTGGGGACTCTGTGCTGGGCGGAGGTGGGGGTGACTTCGCCTCCTGGTCTGCTGTATTGGGTATAGGTGTACTCGACTCAGAAGGTGCTGCTTGTTCCGAACTCGAAGGGACTTCAGCCGGAGGGGCAGCAGAAGATGCAGATGCCTCGGGTTGTTCTGTACTAGACGGAGATCCGGCTGCCTCTGGAGCTTCAGGTGATTGTCCTGTTGTCAGGTCTGGAATCGCATTCGATAATCTGGGCACGAATGCCGGCGCTGGAATTAAGCCCTGTAATAGCACAAAATAAATTTGTTCAATTGGTACAACATTTCCAACGTTTCTAAACTGTTGTACAATGAATGTAATGTCCTGTTATTGGACTTAAGTGGTTATATTTACGGATAATTCGTATATCACACATCAAAGTATCTAACTTTGAATCATCTGATTCAGTAGTCTCAAAAGACCTGTAAGTTCATAGTCTGTGTATAACACAAATTTATAAATTACCATACTTACATTGGCTAGTGGCAATTCTGGTCCGTAAAAGAAAGGCGACTGTAGCGGGAAGGTGAAGGCTGCATCGTGTATCACTGGCTGGTACACCGGGTATGCCTTGCTTGGCTCCAGGTTCTGGTTGGAGGTGATAAGGGCATTGTACACCTTAGGAATCCGACCTGGCGCCGGACTCGATGTCACAATGCCTACACACACCAACTGGAAAAATAAAGTAAACGTTGTGTAAGTAACAATTGTTAGTACGATAAATTTGTGACCAAAAATTCAAGATTAGAAGAAAGAAACACAATAGGTAGTTATAATTAAAAAAAAATACTTGATTAATTGACGCCTAATTGAAAATTCCCTTTCGATTTATTTGATATTTAATTTGCTTTTTATAGTAACTATTTAAATTTATCAATTTTATTTAAATTTAATCAAAACAAAAACATAAGACTCTTGATCTTTTCCTCCTATAGTTTACTTGTATAATGAATCAATAATTTTCTCGACTCAGTTACAGAACCAGTTATATGAATTGCATTATAGTCGACTGTAACTAGACCAATTACAATTTACCTTGACTTTACAGGTACAAGAGACATGAGTGACATATACTAATAAAATTATCAAATAATATTTGGCTAACGGAGACTATTATTAATAACTTTATTGTTCATTCTCCCCCACAATCCCCCACCTAATAAATATTTATAACATTGTTCAGATTTTCATAAAACTACGTGTAAACACAGAGGCCAATTTGATTAGTCAAATCATAATTAACGTACTTGCTTTCACTCCCGCGTATGATACAACTTTGAAAGGAAGCTAAAGACATTAAAATCATGGTCGTATGTAATAACTGAAAATTAGCACACAAAAGGATAATAACGACAGAACAAAATGCAACTTAAAAAATTCAAATCATTAACATAATGGTCGATGTTACAAGAAATATATCAAGCTGTAAATTATTGTAGCGCTTGGCTACCGTGAGATATTTTTTTTTAAATAGTTAATTTGTTTAAATGTTTGTATAAAATGATTAATAATGAAAAATACTTAATTAAACTTCCTTATTAAAAAGCTAATTTGCAAGTTATATTAGATTATTTATCTTTTGTTTATAATTATATGTCTTTTAAATACAATTATTATTATACGTATTCATTTATTTATCTTATTCTTAATATATTACATTAAATATATAATGATGACCCATGACTAAAACAACCAGTGGTCAGGACTGCAGAAACAGGAACCTTCTCACGATGCGTACAGTTTCTAGGATAACTGCCTTTTGTATCGGGTTCTTAATCCATCTGTTTAGCGGGAGCTTCTTGAGATGTTGGTCGAAGCTCATCGCTATTAGAAGTAGTCGATTTCATTTATTGTTATTTTATTATTACATTTATTTATCACATTTCTAATATAATATTATATTAGAAATGTGATATAATATTATATTATATTATATTTTTGTTATAATATTTTTGTTATTATTATTATATTATTTTAAAAGTTAAATTAAAATGTTATTCTTATCTTAATACAGATTACTAAGTATAGTAGGAAAGTATTTTTTTTGTTGTTTACGTATGAATCAGCGGGAGTGGTCAATCAACGAAGCCTTGACATTTAGATATGTCATGAGGAATTGGCTTATACAACAGGGGAAAGTACCAATCATTACGTACTATATGGAGTCTTAATTAACTTAAGTGGAGTTTAACAGTAAAGCTTTGTCTTACTAAATTATAACCTTATTGGTATGATTGTTGTTTTTCAATTTAAAAACTTTAATGGCCGCACAAGGGCTGACATTTCATGCGTCACTTCTTTTATAATATGTGATAAAATATCATCCTGTATAAGTGAATAAAAAAATAACAACTGTGATCCAATTTTGTCCTCCAGAAGGTTAGATGGCGATTTGTTTTGCAAAGAGTTAGTTTTGAAAAGTCTTAAATCTTATTAAACACACAAAAAGTGTAGATTATTTTCAAACGTAGAATTTATAGTTAGGTTTTAAGTACAAATATAAAAGAATCTCGTTCTGCTAGATGTCCTTGTGATTTACTAAAACAATACAAATTCTCACACATTTTAGATAAACGCATGGCCGAAGGAACGGATCGGGTCATTGCCGAACTGTTGTAACTCTTTGCCTAATCGTAACACATTATGCCAGACTATAATCCACGAGCACTTACTTCAAAGATAAGCTTGCACCAGACAAATTGCTCAGACAATGGGTAAATTTGTTAGCAATTTGAACGTCGAAGCTGTTTTACGATTTGAGAAATGTTACTAACATTACCTTTTAAGATTTATTGACTTCTCATCGAATAAAGTAAATTTATTCCAAAGCAAAAATAATAAATTTAAAAAACAAATTCAATATATTTTTGTTATAAATACTGTTAGTATGTATCGATGTGTTACTTTTAACAATAAAGGCTATTCGTACATTGTAAAAAAACAATACCAACGAAGTATAAAGTGCGTAACGTAACGGCTGTGGCTTAGAAATTCATAAAGCACATATTATACATACACAGGGCTATTTCAAATGTTAATCTTACTAATATTATAAATGCGAATGTTTGGATGGATGGATGTTTGTTTGAAGGTATCTAAAGAACGATTGAACTGATCCCGCCGGAATTTGGCATAAATGTAGAACATAATCTGGAAGACAAATTGGCTAATTATTAAATATTTTTTTAATTCCACGCAGCCGGAGTCGCGGGCAACAGCTAGTTATTTATACATTTGACGTAAAACGACATTATTAGTTATTATTTATCTAATGTTTCGAAACTACAACTTCAATGCTAAAAGCACTATTTCGCAATTACAACTAGCCGATTATGTAATTAACTTTAAATAGCACATAATAACTCTTATTTACATTAAAATAAATTATATATACATTAAATTATGACATGAAAACTAAGCTTCCTTTAAAAACGTTCTAAAAAGTCTAATACGTAAATTCCTTTCAAAATTACACGTAACAGTTTTATATTAATGCATATTGCATTGCTAATATCAAATTGCCTTAATCATCGTTTAATTTTGATGCTAAATAGTAGACTAGTAGTCGAGTTGGAATTTAAAAATAATTATTGTAATACGAAACAGATTCTCGCTGTTGCGCTGTTTGTTACAATTTAAAAAGCAATGAGTACAATGATGATGAATGATGATGAAAGACATTCTCCGTGTCCCTGACAAAATATATTTCGATCAGATAGGAATTAAAAGGAAATAGTTAGTTAGAATTTACACATGAATTTGATCAGTTATATGACATCAAGATGAGTGATGTCCATTAAATTGGCAAAAACTACCCTAATCCATCATGTCAAGTTTGAAACGACGAATTTTGGTGTCTCAGACTATTCGCCTCGGCTGTTATATTGCCCTAAGGCAGCAGTTCTAAGACTTTTTTGGATGAACTATAGATATGATTACAGTTAATTTTAAATGTAAGTCAAACGGACCGTATCGTAATTAGTGTTAAAATATTATATTAAAAGAAGCCGACACTTGAAATACCGCACAAAATTTTATAATTGCTGAATGTGTTTTACAAAACTTGAAACAAAAGCAATGAGCCTTCCTTCAACCTTCATTGAGCAAAAGGCAGTTTTGTCTTTCCACAAACATATAAACTACTAAGTTTTGTGTTGTTTTTAAATTAATTGAAAAAATATTTTAAGTTATATTGTTAACTTGTTTATATGTATTGACATATTGGGAGATTTGAAATGGCTTAAATCTAGAAACTTCGTTGTGAATGTACTTACACGGTCGCAAAGTAAAAGGTAACCTATGTGCACTGGACATAGAAAGGTACGTATCAAAAACTATAACTTAGGCTCGAAGGCTAACATAAGTGTAACTTGTTACTGCGCCCACATGATTATTTTTAAGCTAAAATTTATTCTAGCGCCTGTTTTTGCTTCATTGTTTGTGTCTTGTCTTACAACGTGCTCTTGTATCCATATAACTAAACTATAGTGTAATAAATAATATTTTTTTAAAGAGTAAAGTTCAAAAACATCATAGAAGTTAAGGGGAGATAGGCTGGTTGTTACAATAGAATTAGATTTGGAACCAACAGAAGTAAGTTTCTTTATACCACATCCATAATCTAAACACAGGCATTCATGTTCATTAAAACGTACGTGTAGTTTTTAAGTTTCTGTAACATTATGGCATCTGGTCATTACCAACGACTCGCACTATATGTTAGTCATGAGACTTCATTTGCCTTCAATGTGTTAATTTATTTTACAATTTTTATTGTTAAATTTTATTGATGTCCAATTAGATTAATTAAATATAACGAGGGCCTAAATAAGCTTGTAGCCGGAAATGAGTGACACAAAGGCGAAGCGCGAACGCGAGTCTGTCAGCTGCTAGCCTTGGCCACGCCTGCGATCAAGGTCTAAGAAATGGAACGTGCTACAAACTGGTACCCGTTAAGGTCAACGCCGCACAAACAAATGAGGACTGCACTCAAATATTCTAATGTAAATGCTTTGTTATAATATTAGAAGATTTTTTACGACGAATGATTACGATTAACATCGATTACAAGCGGTAGACAAAAAGACAAGATGTATTGTACGAATGGGTTGCTTCTACCAGTATAATACCAAGAACACATAAAAGACACGAGTTAAGTGGAAGCATTTCCGCGTTTCGTCTGATGAGTGTGCCGCAGGCCTAATTTTAGTAGCCCGTTTCCATCCCGCACTTTTTATAAGGAAAAGATGGGAAGCGGATTAGAAGGGTAATGATATGCATAGGAAGGGGAAATATTCTCTTCCTGTGTCGATTAAAGGTAGGCATTTGCAATTGCGGATGTCTATGGACTGCGGTCTGTTCGCTACTTCGGCGAATTCAGGTGATTGCTTGCTCGTTTGCCACTTTGCAAACGTATGTATGTATATCGCTTTACAAATATAAAAAAAATATCCGCTATAACAATTGGTCAATTCTTATTTCGATACGCTGGAATTCGCGATGGCACTACGTTTATCTTCGTTCTCTTTTTTGTACACGCTTGAAAAATAAGACAAACGATACCTAAAGATCAATGGTATAGATTTGCAAGGAATGGCGCAGTATTGTGCATTACCAATAAATCAGAGTTCAACGACCTGTTGCAGTCGAGCCTATAAGTAAAGCCTCAAGAAATTTCTCACCGCTTTGCCAAGTTCGATATAAGCTTTAGTATGCTAAGAGCTCGCTGATGCAGTATAACAAATAGCTACGCTTTCAACGGAGACGTATTAGTCATAACATTTAGAATTTATTGGCGAAAGTTAACAAAGGAATGTTTGCAGATTATTGATGAAAACTGATGAAATTATTAACAGTCTCGCTTTTTAATGTTTCGTATATAACAAGATTTGTGTTATTTTTCGAAGTGAGATGTAAACAAGAGACAAGTATGAAATTTCCTTTCCATAAATTGATGCTATAAATAAATTATTAAAAAACAATTACTTTTTAAAATCTGATAAATTATCCTTAAAACAAAAGTGCAGTAAATAGACTTAAGGCCCATTTACACGATGCAAGTGTTTTTGCCTTGCAAGCAATAAGTGTTTTATATAGTCAAAGGACTTATTTATTATACAATTGTTAAATGTTAATTATACGCGCAATTTTTTGCATTTCATTATTACTCTGGTACATAAAAGTGCAGTGGATACATCTTAACAGGCATTTATTAACTTACAAATTGTAGGCTAAACGGGCTTTCGTGCAGACAATGCAAATAGATCAAATGATACTTTTTGCTCATGACTCTGCTTAACATATTTAAGTACATTAATCTTAAAATAAATTTTAAATAAACAGCTATTAATTTAAGTGGGTTTTTAATAAGGTACGGCTTCTGTTCGGTTTATCATGACTGCATGGTCATGCAAGGAAAAATTATAAACACATAAAATTGTAACATACTTGGTAATAAATGTAGATTTTTATGGATAAATCGAACGGCTACATCTTCGTGCTAGATCCATTAATGGACAGGACAGGATTCCCTATGATCGATGTTAATTGAATCATTTCTAAACATGTCCATTTTAAATTCTAATGCCGTAATCCTTAAATTAGTCTCAGAAATACATCGCTTAGTTAACGAAAGAACAAGCTCACGATCATTACGATAATTTTTATTTTATTTAGCCCTGAAAATTTATTAATCCAATGAGATATTTACGACTTGTAATATTACTATGTATTAATATAAACACGCTACTGCAATTATTATTTAGTACCTGGATGACCGGTATTTTTTTTTAAATTGATAGTATTATTATTCGCCAATAGATGCCAGGAAGAGTCATATTTTTCAGTTGAGACTACTCAAACGCCTCCTTTTTGTTATTTTTCTTCCAAGTTTATGTTTAAGTTGATTATCGATAAAACACGAATAAAATGACAGTATCTAAAAATCATTCCTAGCTAGATCGATTTATCGGCCCCGAAACCCCCTATATACTAAATTTTATGAAAATCGTTGGAGCCGATTCCGAGATTCCAAATATATATATATATATATATATATATATATATATATATATATATATATATATATATATATATATATATATATATATATATATATATATATATATATATATATATATATATATATATATATAATATATACAAGAATTGCTCATTTAAAGATATAAGATAGCTAAAAAACAAAACATTTGTAAGAAAAACCCTATAAAGTATTAAAATTGTACTCCAAATGATTGTTGATAGGACAATATTATTTTTAACAATGGATACAACTGCTAATCTTTACTTTTAAACTAGCGGTCGCCCGCTACTCCGTCCCCGAGAAAATTAAAAAAACATAATTAGTAGCCTATGTGTTCTTCTAGACTATGTTCTATTTGGATACTAAATTTCATTGAGATCCGTACAGTAGTTCTGGAGACAACTTCAAACAAACATCTATCCATCTAAACAGTCGCATTTATAATATTAGTAAGATATTATTTTAAATAACAAGTTATTTTCCTTACAATATTTATTCACGAACCGTGTGCAGAACATTCTGGAAATCTGATGCAAGTATTAAGCGGCATATTCCAAAAAGCTATTGTTCTCAAAAACATGTCGTGTGCGTTTGTTTGCCCTAACATGTACATAGGATAGCTTAATTAACGTGTACACACGTTTTCTATGCCATTTGTGGTTGTCACGAAGTGGAACGTTTAAAGAGATTTTACATGCGAAGTCTACTATACAAAATTTCAAATGAAATAAGTCTCTGCGAAGAACAGTTAGTAGTTCAATTAAAAGGTATAATATACAAAACGTGTTGAATTCTTTTGTACGTTCAAGATAATTACTGTCCCAATATTTTATTTATACTTAGCGTTGTAATGCTTGGCTCTAGACACGGCGTTTTCATATCCACTCGTGTGTGCTATTTCCACTAGCGCTACTACGACTATCTAACAGCTGCACGCAACCGGAGTCGTCCGGGTAACAGTTAAGTGGAAATCTTACTAATATTAATGCGAATGTTTGCATGGATGGATAGATGTGTGTTATTGCGTATCTCCAAAACGACTTAATGGATTTCTATGAAATTTGGCACAAATATCAAACATAGTTTGGAAGAAGGCATAGATTACTTAATATTTTTTAATCCCGCGCCAACTAAGTCGCGAGCAAGAGTAAGTAGGTTATAAATATAGTTGTACTACTGCAAACTGAATGAGAGAACAATAATCAATGACTTATCACGCTTCATTGAATTACAATACACCGTAAATAATTCTTATACAAATTAAATATAATACCAAATTATTATTTATAAACAATGTATGACATGTAGGAAACTTATTTTATTTAAGACGTATTTGAGTCATAATGCATTGAGACACAGTCATGAAATGTTTCAATATAAAAATATAGATATATATAGATATATATAGATATTATAAAATAAATATTTCAAATGTCCAATGAATAAATTAAACAGAATTTGCATAAACATCTGATTGATGTTATTTTTTATTAAAAGCGACAAGAAATCGTTAGGGAAAGTTAAATAATAAATTGAATGAAATCAATATTATGTACTATTTATGACAGCGAAAGTAATAAAGACTTTAAAGAAATAAATCGCAAAACATTAATTTAATCCAATGCAATTCATTGGTTGTATATTAAGATATAGTGGCTAATAGTTCAGACTATATAAATTTTAACTTAACATAAATACAAACATAGATAAGTTTTAAGTTATAATTTGGAAGTGGCATTTTTTATTATAATTTTGGGTAGTTTTGGCATAAAAACTAAATAAAGCTTATTGTTTTAAAAGCTCATTTCCATTGAGTATACAGATATAATACATAGTTGTACTTACAATAGAGTATTGTAGAATAAAGGAGTGCATGTTGCGCGCGCTCTGCGTGCCGGCCGTGGCGGAGTGGCTGCGAGAGGGCGCTGCGCTCGCCGGCCGCGCGACCCGTGAACTGACCCTGACTGGATGTGGCCGTCGTACCAACATCTTACTCAACTCTTACCGACAATATTATGATTTATTATTACTTGATACAACGATAATCTGTCATAAAAGATTATGCATTTAATATACGAAACGATGTTCAATAGCTAATTTCCAACTTATAAGATTTATTGCGGGATACATAAATTTCTTTATAATTTGTGCATAAGCAGAGAAAAGTAAAGTTAAACACAGATCACTTAACAATTTCTCGTAATTCGCAATTTAAACTATAGCGTTCATTGTAAGACCCCCTCTTTATATTAGCATAAAATTTGCGCGTAGTTCTCGAAAGCACTTTTTGTAGGATAATCCTTGAAGGTTTATTCTGTGAAAAAGATATACCGGAAGTTCATATTGAACTTTACTTGTCTTGTTTAAATTCCCTCGGGTTTTTCTAAAGTTACTTCGCAGAACACGATCACTTTTTACTTAAAGTTGCTAAGATTTACCTCAATCGTATCATAATTAAGTAAAACTCTATCCTGTTAAAAAATCAGATTTTTTAGAAGATCCAAACAGAGATTGAGAATAGCGTGTAAAAATTTAGTTAGAGCTTTCTAGTAAATTCTAATTCATTGTCAGTCCTTGAAAGCGAATGCAAGCACGTTGTGCTTTGTCCTACTTAAATGATAAGCCATAAAACTTTTAAACTATTTATTTTACACAGGTGGACATTACAGACATATATTTACCAAGTTGTCGTAATATACCAAATGTACAGTTTTTTTTTAAAGACAAGAATGTTCTGAATTTTATCTACCTAAATGTACAACTTAGATATTGAGACTATTCTATGCGAATAATTGTGGTTATTAAATTGCAAAAGATACCTATCTTTGTGTGATAGCGTAAAAATATCTTTCTGTTTTTAACTTTCAGTTTAAGACTTCATTTTAAGTTTTCTATAAATCGAGATCACGACGTTAAAACAATTGCGAAGCGAAACTGAGTAAACCTAAGCTTGTTTATGTTAAAAATATATTTAGGGCCCTGCTAAAAAAAAGCTTACAAGAGCGTGTTTCACTTAAATTTAATATTTATATTGTATTATTATTATTTATGTCAACCCTTTTTCAGGTGTCAGATAATTAACAAACTACTTTGTTTCGATGGAAAGTATATAAGTTATAATAATAGATATTTTCAAAATTTATATTATGTTTTATATAAAAAGATAAGTAGAAATGCATACAATAAGGTCTGAGTTTAACAATTTTGAAAAAAAAATCCAAAACAAAAGCTTGTGTTATATATTGAAGCGCCCTCTATACTGAGCTTAATTACATTATCATGATTTCTTAGCTGCTTACAATGTGTATATAAGTTTTAGTTCGGTTTTCTCCTACACAATATAGATGGTGCTGTAATAAAACACAGAGATTATATGTAAATACATATCTTTATAAAGTAGGATATTAAAAATATTTTACATTTGTACACAAAACCTCTCTAGGGTCCTAGGATGACTCTTAATCATATTTCCGAAAAATCTATCCATTAGGTTGCGACAGAATTGTGTGCCCAGATGCGACTAACTAGCGACAATCACATGACTTATCGAAAGTTATTGTCAGTTCTATACATTTTTGAAGTACGTTATGGAATGGCTTCAGAGCGAATTCACTTTGTCTAATCTCCCAGCAAGAATATTTGCTATACGCGGCATCGTAACGTCGACAAAATATGCCAAAAGTTGATGATGATGTTGCGGTCGGGACGCACTAATTTTAATCTAAATTTAGTTGATGACGTTACTAAAACATTCCTACGTACTAGGCCTTCTGGAGGTTCATTATAAGGCGGGGTTGTTACGAGCGGACTGTTTCACATGTGATAACTTTTATACTTATTAATTTGCACCTCAGTGTTTTTATCAGACTTAGTCAACAAATTAACTGCTCAAAGTCTTTTTCTTATCATTATAATTGTGACCCCTTAACTACTTATATCTGGGGTCACTACGTTTATAACATCAAGAAAATATTACTCGAATATTCATAATTAATTAATTAAATGTTTAAACCTAAATATATTATGTGCTAACCTTGTACTTAGCAAAAGGTTCGAACCCTGGCTTCGTCATCGTCAGTTTTTCCGCCCCTGGTTCACATTAGTTTTTACTGACATCAGGTCTATTTTTACTGCTTTTAAATTTAGCAGATTTAATAAAATCCCGACACTTCTAGTACTCTCGGGTTCATGTCAAGATGTCGTAAGATTCAAAGAGTTATATTTGCACTGTAGGACGTAGATTAAAATTAACTTCTGTTATAAATGATATTCTATAATGAGAAATAATACGCATTAAATACTTCAAAAATAATATAATACTAAAACGACATATATGTGAAAGTAAAAAATATATTTAGCCATTGCATTGACTTTTTTATATACAATTAATTACACACTAAATTAAAACTAGTATCACTCACATTTCTGTACTTATCATTCGCGGAAACTGCACTGTCATAGTCTTTTGGAGACTTGTCAAATATATTCGAAAGGTATATGACATAGCCTCCGAATGACTAGAAGTGGCAACTGCGGTAAACATACGACAAAAAATATGGCGAAAGGACTGAAGAGTATGCATGTTCCCAACCACGCCATCAGAAACCATGTTGGCAGGAAGGCCACTTGCTCCAACATTATCGACACCAGATGCCCCTCGATTCCAGAAAGTTCATAGTTTATGACTATTGGAAAGTGCTATATAACTAAGGCTTTCATTGTACTCTTCTAAAATGGAGAACTCGTACTTAGGATCGCCATCTGAAATTAAAAATATACAAAGTCAAATTAAAGCTATAAATTATAAAATGCAACTAAACCTACTGTTGAAACATATATTCATCCTGCTCACGTTCTTTAAATAAACAGAGATAGCAATATCTTTTTGTACAGGGGTTTCGATGGAATGCGACCACGGTGACAAAAAAATCTTTAGTTGCGAGACTCCCGGGGAGTATACAACGACTCTTAATATAAACATATTATAGAAGCGCTTTTACCACATCAAAAACGATTGATGATATAAATCAGGAGCATACTCGTACAAGGTACCAAAACAGATCTAAGAATCAATTACAAAAACAATTGCGCTTTAAATTTTATTTCTGTAACTTTATATTTTAAGATCAATTCAGAAATCACTGGTAAATTATTATTATGCTAAATTTAACTACTGCTACTAATTTTTTTTATATCATAGGGTGGCAAACGAGCGAGCGGCCACCTTAAATCGCTGAAGTAGCGAAGTGACCGTTGCCCATAGACATACGCAATTGCATATGCATTGCCTACCTTTAATCGACGGAGGAGAGGATGCACAGAAAGAAAATATTTTCCCTTTTCATGCATCCTCTCATCCGAAAAGTCCACTTCCACTTCCCATCCTTCCCTCATAAGAAAAGGGTGGGAAGGGAAAGAGGACTAAATTAGGCCTACTGGAGAGACAACCACAATTGCAAAATCATTATACTGCATGTGGTTTATACATTCTAAATTAACAACAACACAACTCCAGCCCCTAACCCAGAAGGGTAGGCAGAGAACACGGACCATTTTGTGATCCTGACATGTTTCTCTCGTCTCTTCCATATTCATACATCTAAGTAAATATTCACGTCGGTTTAGAATGCTTTTAATCTTTATATTATAAACGCAAAAGTTAATACGAATGCATGGATGGATATTTGTTAGATACGACCGAATAGGTCTGGATGAAATTTGTTATAAGTGTAGAACCCTATCTGGAAGAACGGAGAGGCTATTAATTTTTCCATTCTAGTACTCTTAATAATTCTTACCAAAAGTATATTTCAACCAAAGTACTAATGCGTATACGTTATCTATATTTTGTTTTAGTTGTTATTAAGCAATATGTAAGTTGACAGTGGAAGGTTAACTCAAGGTTAAGAACACGGAAGCTCGAACTTTGTAACCAAACAGCTTTACAGAGACTCCACTGCCAAAAAACCTGTACAAAAACATATCTTAGTTTTCAGAAGTTTTGAGAGTGGAGATCTATGTTAATAACAGTGTTTTATACTCATGGCAAAATTATTTAGAATTTCAAACCGAATTTTTGAACTTCAAAATGTTATAAGTAAACAATTGACGATTAGAGGGATGCAATAACATTTAATCTAACCGCAGTATTGTTATGTTTTTCTAAGAGCGTTTTTATAATTCAATGATATAGTGTTTCTCATGTATGATAAATATTTAAAAGATATAATTAGATAAGGAAATGATACGTTTGATAAATGTTATTCTCGTATGACTACAAGCCCGCGCCAATAATTCTAATATAACGGATGAGTCTGTTAGACGAATTTTTGAATCTATCGACATACCTACACAATTACTATATCAACTTGTGCGTAGTACAAGATTGATACAGGGTGCCGGTAAATATGTACTGTATACATTCGAACCTCGTTCCACGAGAGTACAAGGGACCGCGAGACTTTTCCATGTTCCACCAATAAGTTTTAAAATCAACCAATTTATATTTTCTTATTATATCATTATCAATATAAACATATATAATTTTTCAATTGGAATCGCTTTAATAATTACCAGATAATTGTCTTGCCAAATCTGATCAGCTAACGTTCAAGTATTTATATGGCACGTGGAAGGGATATGCGCCAAATCGAATGATTTAAATTAGATTCATCAAAGTGCACGATTTTTTTTTAACTTCAATAGATAAGATAAAATTACATTTCTCCAGACTTTGGAATGCTCTTTGAACGTCTGCAAAAATAAAAGGTAAATGACAAGTATCGTAGGATTTTAAAACTACGTATTAAATGAATTCTTCAAAGAAAATTGTCTAGACTTTATGTAATACTGGCATTTTCTTTGAAAACGTAAATTTTCAATCGAAACAAAGACGCGCTATAGTAGACAGCAATATTATATTACACCTCGATCTCTTGGTTTCAATGACCTCATTAGAACACAGATTTGTTAGGGGTTGAATTTATAATGCGTAATAATCAAAA